AGCAGCTTTGAAGCAGCTCCCGAGGCTCTGTCTGGGTCTGGCAGGAGACACTGTCCATGTGTGGGGGAAGCGCCAGTGCCCAGGCACACAGGGCTCTTAAGATCGGGGGATTTAGGATGCTAGTGGGCGTTCCAGACTTCCCAGGTCAAGGACAGGAAGGACTCGCTCTCTGTTCATGCAGTGATGGTACCCACGATGTGACTACCACTAGTAGCAGTCCACGGCGCGTGGCTCTCAGAACTCACCGTGGCTCTGTGCCTGCAAGTTGGTGGGAGGCTGGGCTGCACTGCACTATTCCTAGGAGGACTGTAGGGAACAGGTTGGGGGGGGGCGGGCGAACCTGATTTATACCTTGGCCTCCAGCCTAAGAGGCCCTTTCTGTTTTCTGCAGAAAGCATAGGAAGATTGGAGGGAACCCTGCCTTGTAACAGGCGGTGAGTGGATAGTGGGCAAATCACATGCTTAGGAGTGGGGTGCAGCCTGGCGGTCCTGCTTGTTCCAGAGGCTTGGCCCTGGGGATTTCAGGACCCAGGCCAGCGACTTCAGGCCCTGCGTTTACCCTGTGAGCAATTCTGAGCCTGCAGCCCTGCCGGAGAGTCTGAGCACTCCCGTCATCCTTGGAGAACGCTGCAACTTTATGCCTACGCATAAAAACTGGAGGGATGCATCCCAGAGTTTGCCGCCGCCGCTGCTGCCGCCGCCGCCGCCGTTAGAACGGTTTAATTAGCTGCAGGATTTTAATGAGCTGAAATCAAGAAAAGCCCTATCTCAGAAGTAAGCCGGAGCGGCACACGGAAGAACTAGTCTGACAAAACAGATGGAGGTAGTGTTCTCCGGGGACTGGGCTGTGTGCTCCGATCGGCGGGCAGCAGATGAGTTCCTGAGGCCAGCAGGCTGAGAAGAGAAACCCGGGTCAGACACGAGTGCCCCTACAGCAGGAGGAAAGCTGGGCTTCGGGACCCCTCTGCTGCAGTGGCAGGAGGCACGGTGCCGGATTCAAGGTGACGGCAGGGCCTGGCTCCATTCTCCTCAAGTTGCCATAGCAGCCTCTCTCCCGAGGAGCAGCTTCTCCTGGAGCCCTCAGCCGGGAGGGACGTCATTGTTAGCTTCTGCCCGGCGGCGAGGAGGCAGACGGAGAGAGAACTTTCCCGGGCCCGAGGCCCGCTGACCACGTGGGTGTGCCCAGCTGCTCCGAGCGGACACGTGGGGGGTGGGCCCCCACACCAGAGGGTCCTTCGGGTGACTGGGGCGAGTGTCCATCCAGGCCTTGGAGCAGCCGCAGCCACGCGTGTCCTTGGAGCTGTCCGCGCATCCGGCCGTCGCCACTGGAGGTGCGTGTGTTTTGGCTGAATTCCCAAATCCCTTCTTGCACCCTGAAGTCAATTTCCCTGAAGAGACGAATTTTTAAATCAAATAAATAAGGATCTTTGGCCCTGCCCTTTCTCCTAGGTGTTTACAAGATTAATTGGATCTTTTTTTTCTGCTTTTTTTTTTTACCCCTTAAAGTAAAAACTGGTGACGCCATTCTGGCCTCAGGGAGAGAAGCTGCTGGGTGGACTAGGAATTTTGAGGAGAGTGGGAGCGCGTGGAAACTCAACAGGGCTGTGTGCTTTTCTTGCTTTATGCCTCCCCCTTATCTGCTCCTAGTTATTCAAGTTTCCTTGCTGTCTGATGGTTTTGGAAGGGAGAGGAGGAAAGATTGCTCCTGTCACTGAAGCAGAGTGTGGTGGTGTGGCTGGTGGATGTGGGGCAGCCTCCGATGGAGCTGAGGCCTGGCAATGTGCCGAGGTGGCTCCAGGGAAGCCAGGACCCAGCCTGTGTCAGATGTGGCAGCCTTTGCCCAGCCAGCAGCTGGACTCGAAGGAGGGGGAGATGAATGGGCTTTAGACTGGCATCTCTCCTTTGTCTTAGCAATGCCTTGTGATTTTGAAGAAAAAGACTCTCAGGAAACAGTGGGGATCAGAGGTGCACCCTCTCTGTGGTGTAATCTCCAATCCGTGGGAACCTCCTGTCCACTGCCCACCTGCAGAGAAAGGAGGGTTCTGCAGAGTCCAGGATGTGGGTCCCTCCCTGGGCATTATAGACCCAGCCAGACTGAGAGCCAGCGGGGAGGAAGACTGACCTTTCAGTTCCTATCCACATGGAGCTAGGAGTTGCTCACACAGTCCCCCCGAGAACGCACACAGAGAAGAGGGCTCCAGAGCAAAAGACTGAGGGCCCGCGTGGGGAGGCCAGGAGCTTCTCCGACACCACCTCCCTAGGTGTGCCCAGGGTGCTGTTCTCCTGAGAGTGTTGCAAATGGCGAATGTACAGAGTGGCTGATTCTCTTGACACTGAGAAGGTATAGGACTCCCTTATGCGGTGTTCAAAAAGCTGGGACAATTTGTGGCTCAAGTTCTGTTCTGGCTGAAGCAATGACCATGGGACGGATCAGGGAGGTGAAGGGACCAACCGGCTTTCAGTAGCCCCGTCCACAGCACCAGGGGCTAAACAAACAAGATGAGAATCACATGTGCTTCTGAGCCGCCTTTCTCCATCAGATACACTTTGGGTCAGTATTCGGGGGCACATTATTGGCCATTGGCAGCTCTGTGTGCTTGCTGTAACTTGTCCTTCCCTCTCTCCTTCCTCTCTCCATTCCAGTCCTTCTCCTTACAAAATAACTTGATGTCACAGGCCACCCATCTTTGATCTTATTGGCTTCTGACTCAGGAAGCTGTTGGGGCTGCAGAAAGTGTGCCAACCCTGTGCATCCAGGGCCTTCTCAGGTTCCTCAGTGGTGTGTGCAGTCTGGGTGTGCATGTGTGTTAGTGCACATGCCCCTGCTCTAGTATGTGGCTGGAGTGTGTGTGTGTGTGTGTGTGTGTGTGTGTGTGTATGTGAGAGAGACCTTGAACTGCCTCCCCCGTTCCTGTCTGAGAGTCTGGCTTCCACTGCGTCAGTTTGTAATGTCATTTCCATTCTTCTAACTCCTTTTCAACTCTGCCTGGGCATCCCAAGGGGCCATGCCAGCTGCTTGAGGGGCATAGTAAGGACAAGGGAGAACAGCAACCCTTCCATAGTTGCTTTTACTGTCCCAGGAGCTGAGGGCTGATTCTAGCAGCCCTGGGGCACTGCATTCTGTGCCTGTCATCGCTGAGGGAAGGCTCTGGGTACGGGAGGGCATCAGGACATGCTGTTGGCAGCATTGAACCTGGCCGTGTCCTTTAGTGAGCCTGAAATCTGCACTGTGCCCTGTGCAGTGACTCAGATCCCCTGGGATGGTCTCATCCAGGGAAACTATAGAGTGAGAAGCCCTCCTTCTACCTGAGGGGTTGCCAGTCTGAGCCTTTGGGGACACACAGTGGTCCATCTTCACCCACTCTGATTAGGGCAGGTATGGTCCTGGTTTGACAGCAGGAAATGATAGTCTTCAGCAGGGGCAGAGCCACCGCACTGAGGTCAAGACCTACCTGAAACCCTGGAGCCAGCTGCAGGTAGAAACCAAGTGCAGCCCAGTGCTGCCTGCCACACATAAAAGCTGGGAGGTCGTGAGAAACACCTACTCGGCACAGTCCAGGGAGCCCAGCACCAGGCGCGCGAGAGGCCTGAGGCAGGTTAATTAAAGTTAACTGAGTGAAAAAATAATTACAGAGACTGCAGAGAGGAGAAACCCAAACCTACAGTTTATACTCCTTGGCCCCTGAGCTTTGCTGAGAAGCAATATAGGGCTTGGGAAATTTTTCTGGGCATGGGAGAGGGGACAGCCTATTTTTTTTATCACTTTCTTTCTGCCTTGTTCTCTAGAGAGTGGGCACAGAGAGGCTGAGCGGGGAGGGGGGGAGGAGGAGGCTGCTTCCTTTCTGTCTCAAGGCCTAGGTGGGAAATGTCTTTCATTGTATAGTACGTCAGGCCTTGGGCTAGACGGCCACCTAACTGAAACCTCAGACTCTGCTGAGAGCTGCCCTGGTAGCCTCAGCATCCTTTGGGCATTTCCCTGGGCCAGGGTGGCGTGCGGTAGAAAGGAGGTGGTATCCTAAGGATTAGGCCAGTGGGGCCAGATGAAGGTCAGGGGATAGAGGGCCTTCCTTCACCTAGGAGGTCCCTGAGATATGTGCTGCCTGGGTGGTCTGCTCCTCAGTACCCATCCCACCTTCTACAGGAAGTGGCATCTCTCCTGTGAGCAAAAGACCTTCAGATGCCCCTCTCTTGATCCATAGCCTGGACGCGATGGGAATCCCTGGTTGGCATTTTAGGTTATTGGGCATTTTTGTCCCTCGCCCTTCAAGATGAGGGACAAGCCAGAGGGACATGCTTTGGGTCTACAGGAGCAGAAACAACAAGGAAAAATGGGACAGTAGTGCTCAACCCCTGAACCTTTGAGCCTGAGATCTGAAAACGACAGGACTGACTCCTAGGCTGAGGTCTGGCCCGAGCTTCTCCTCCCACCTGGGTCTCCCCAGTGGCCCTCAGTCGACCTCCTCCAGCCCATCTCTCAGTCTGTTCATGAGAACAGATCTGCCTGGTACGGAGGAATCGGTCTCCTCCTGAACATTCTCTGGGTCTGAAGGCTCCTTCTCAAAGCCCCCTGTTGCCAGTATCCTGTAGAAAGGAGCCAGGGTGGAGCCAGATCTGTCCACCTGACTGGTTAGATGCAGGGAGCTGTATTTGGACCTGTACCCAGACATCTGCACAGGGAACACACATGGTCCTTTGGAGTCTTAGGGAGCAGGAAGGTGTCTGGTGGTCACCAAATGTAAATCTCAGATCACTTCCGGCAGCTGGCAGAAAAATGTCTCTGCTTGATTTTGTAAGGAGACCCTGGCAGGAAGCCAGTGTCCTGGCCACAGGTGGCAAAAGGACTTCCTCCAGCAGCCCCTCTGGGCTTGAAAGGTGGTAGGGTGTGCACCCAGGGTGGGGCAGGGAACCCAGGGATTGCACTTGGTTACTATGGTGACCTGGGCCTCGATCTGGGTACCCTACAATTTGGAAATGAGTCTTTTTTCCTCTCTTCCCTGTAGCTCACACCCTGATGGATGCCTGGTGTGGATGATGAGGGAAGAACGCGTCTCTCACACCAGAGAGGTAACCTTGCAGTGCACCCTGGATGCCCCTGCGACCTGGAACAATGCGGCTGGCCTGCATGTTCTCGTCCATCCTGCTGTTCGGAGTTGCGGGCCTCCTCCTCTTTATCAGCCTGCAGGACCCCACGGAGCTCGCCCCCCAGCAGGTGCCAGGTGAGCCCTTCCTCGCTGGGGCTGTCATGAGCCTCTGGCTTTCCTGCCAGAGGCACAGGCCTCCACAGCTACTCTGATGTTCTGAGCCTGGGGAACAAGTGCCCCAGCAGGGGCCAGTGTCAATGTGGGAACGTTCTATCTGATGCCAGCCTCTGGGCTTTGGCCTCTGGCTTCCAGAGCCTCCTCTGGCCTCCCTTTGGTGGTGAGATTTCATTGCTTGTTGCCTTTGGTAAAGATTTAAGGAGTTTTCGGCACCTCTTTGTGCCTCTTCTACTTTAGGACTTTGGAGCATGAACAAGATCTCCTTGAACCCATAACCCATAACCCTAATGAGATTCAGTTTCTCTGCACAGCCACGGGAGGCCTTTGAACCTGACTACTCTGGCTTGGACAGAATGGCTTGGGGCACCTCCAGGCTTTCTGAGCCACGCTCCACCCATGCTGCCTCCCTTTCCCTATGCCTGTGACCACTGGAGAAGAAGAGCATCCTCCTTAGGGGGCCCAGTGTGGTGGGGACAGGTGGAATGTCTGTGAGTGAGAACAGGAACGTGGCTCTGGTATCTTGGGCAGACAGAACGGGAAGGGTGCCTGTGCAAGGTCCCTGCTGCCGGACCCAGCAGGGCTGGCGATCATAGACGTGGGGTGAGGCCAAACGTTGCTCTGCTTTGGGGTAAGAGAAAAGCAGGATTTCCGGCCCTGTCTCAGCAGTGACTTCTGTAAGATGAGGATCCCTGAAAACCCCTGCTCAGCTGATCCACTCTAGAATGTGGCTCCACTTGCACCCTACAGACAGACCTCTTCCCAAAGGATATGCATGGACACATCCTTATTTGCTCAGTGCCCTGAGCCTGAGTCAGAACCAAAGACACTCAGGGGGGACACTTAAGCAGATGACTTAGTGCTACACTGCCTGCAACCTGGAGCATGGGCTGGAGAGTGTGGCTGAGGAGCACCTGTTGGCACTTAAGGGGAGGGTACCCAGGCCTGTGGCATCCTCCCCAGCCCAATTCTCAGCTCACTGCGACCCTCAGGCCTGAATTGTTTTACTTCTGCAAATACGGGAGATAAACCATGACGTGTGGCCATGAGCACCGACTGAAGGATGTAGGCCCCGGAGGGAGGGAGAAAGACCACACAGAGGCCAGAGACCCCTGGGCCTGGAGGCTGCTTCCAGGGGCCCCACCTGTGGGAGGCCTGAGAGTGGCACCTTGCATCAGAGAGTGAGCAAGAAGCAGCCACAGCAGTTGGCCTAGCAGATAGCAGGTGAGCTCAGTGCTGACGCACAACCTGCCTGACCCCCACAGCTGGTGGCTTTTGGAAAAGCTAAGCTGCATCCTGGCTTGTGAGGAAGCAAGGATGTGTGACCAAGCCAGCCCCTCTGGGGACTTTGCAGCCTCTTGGAAGACCTAAAATAGCGGACCACACTGCATCAGCCCAGCAGGATCCCACAGGACAGCCCTGGCAGTGCAGCATGAGAACTGGACCCTGTGGCTGTACAGAGCAAACTCAGGATAAGGGTGTTCTAGGGCTGCTTGAGATAGTGTCCTGCTTCCTTAGGGTGCGTCCTACTGTGTTCGGCTGCGGGTGTATACATGGACAGAGGGTTCAGGTGGGAGGACAGTCAGGAGAGAGAAGTCACCCGTGGTGGGACAGGTGTGTGGGCCATCAGTGCTGCCCTTCTGGGACGGGATGGGATGAGCAGGTGGCAGAGCAGATGACTTGCTTTTGTAGAGAGAGCTTCTCGCTTCGACTTGTGCAGCCACCCCAGTGCAGATGTGTGGGTTATAGGTGGGTGGAGGCCCATAGGACAGCTGGGTGTTCGGGTGTCCCCAGACAGGAGTTCAGAGCCTCAGGCTGATAGTGTGTGTAGGATGGCAGGAAGCGAAGGCTAGCATCCCCACGGCTGCCAAGCCCAGAAGAGCAGCACGCGTGGTGCTTCTGCCGTGAAAGCTAGTGGGCCACCCTCACCACGTGCCGTGTGATGGACAACCTTGACGCTCTATGTAAATCACACCAAACACAGTCATAAAACTTTAAGTAATGCTTACGTTACTTTCCCTGAGCAAAGTGCTCCTGACACAAGCTGTTTGTGTTGATTTGTTACTATTCATTTATTCTTTCCCTGTACTTCTCACAGCAGCCTAATTGTGATTCGGTACCAAGAAAGCAATATCAAAGTAATTTTCCACAACATTAGTTACAATTTTCTTCTGATCTTTCAAGTGAAACAATCCCATCCTGTTGGCTTCTCTGAGCATATAAACCTTGATTACATTTATCTGTTGGAAACCAGTGCTTACAAAGTGTGTGTGTCCAGTTGCATGGCTGGGTGGCCCCAGGGGCCCCTGTGGGTCTCTGTCCAAGGGAGGTTCAGACGAGAGAGGCTGCTCTGCCATCTGGATAGGGCAAGACCACTCGGGGGGGCTCTGCTGTACTCGGGAAATCTCGCATGGCAGCGTAAACTTTCCTGGGAGCTGAAGGAGTTCTCTAGTGCTGTCTGCTGTACCACACAGGTGGCAAAAGGAGGGTGGGCAGGTGAAGATCTGGAGTCAGCTTGAGAAGGTGATAGGCATCTGTCATTGCCTCTCATCCCTCGGAGTCTGGTGTCAGTTGGACCTTCTTCTGCAGCTATCAAGTGGTAACAGCGCCTGAAAATCTTACGGGCCAGCCAGCCCATCTCACTGGGCTTGTCTTTGGATAGAATCTTACATCACTGACCACTTTTGTAAGTTGGACCATATTTAAAATACTTTTTTTTTTCTTTTGCTGTATTTTAAATCACTTTCTGGAACAGAGCTACCTATTAACTGATCTAAGTATTAAGGTTAGATTTCTTGGGTGTCAGAGAATTCTACCTATTCAGTTACAATTATTTTCCAGTCTCCAATTCTGCCAGGTCAGAGGCTGGGGGTTCTGCCCTCAGGAACGACGTTCGCTTTCATGAGCAGAGACAAAGCTCACGTTTTCTCCAACTAAAAAGCTCAGAGTCCAGGCCAGAACTGAGAATAGCAAACTCCAGCACGTTGGACCTGGGGTTGCAGCAGGCACATTCAGAGGGTCCTTAGGAACTGCCTTTCTCTGTGAACTTTTTATTATGGAAAGTTTGATTAGAATAGTGGAAGTAGATTAGTACAATGAACCCCGCGTATCTGTCACCCAGCACGCCCTAACTGGCCAGCCTGACCCAGTCCACTGCTCCATCATCATGCCTCCTTCTACTTGACTTTAAAACTTATCCCAGATATCAAATCAATTCAGCCATAAATATTTCAATGGGTTTCTCAGTTCAAAGATAAAAGCTCCTCTTTTATTTTTTTTAACATTACCACTAAACCATCCAACTGTTCTTTAATATCTTTGAATACCTGGTCAGTATTCAAACTTCTAATTGTCTCACACATATAAAAATACCTTTACGTCTAGTTTGTTTTATCCATCATTCAAATAAAGCCATGCAATGCAGTCGGCTGATAAATCTTTTAAGTCTCTTTTCATCCTGAAGGTTCTTTCTGCATCTTTATTTTTCTCTTGTTATTTATTTAAGGAAACCAGGTCATGGGTCCTGCAGAATTTCCCACAGTTGGAATTTTATTGATTGGACCTGTTCGAGGCCGTTCAATCTTTTCTTTGTTCTTTCCATTCTCTATAATTAGGTAAATCTCGCAAATTGATCAAGACAGAGGCTGGGTGGTTTTGCTTTTTTTTTCTTTTGGGGGTAAGAATTCGATTGTGGTCCTGTGTCCTGTCAGGAGACTCAGGTCTGTCTGTGAGTCACCAAGAGCGTGCTCAGTGTGTCCATTTGCTAGTGTTTGCACTGTGGCCTTGATCTCATTTTGTGACTCTTCTGCATTCTTTTAAGTGGAATGGATCTTGTTGTAATGAGGCCACGTGAGTCACTGTTAGTGACCCATGAAACCAAAGCAAGTGGTGGATTGATTATTATATAAAAATACGACCTTATGATACAGATTCTGTTGCATACTGTAAATAGTTCTCTCTCTCTCTCTCTCTCCTCCCTCCCTCCTTCCCTCTGTCTCTCTGTCTCTCTCTGTGTGTCTGTCTCTGTCTCTGTCTCTGTCTCTCTCTCTCTCTCTCTCTCTCTCTCTCTCTCTCTCTCTCTCTCTCTGGCTTTTGCAGAATGAGTTTTCTTACCATGGCACCACACCACATTTCAAGAGTGGTGCTCTTTGCTGGAATCAAGGTTGTGGCCATGGTGTTGGGGTGACAGCCCTAGTGGGCAGCAGAGCTGCCTCCAAAGGGACCCATGGTGTAGATGAAAGGACTGGACAGCCTCTGGTGACTTCTCAGTCTATAGCCTTGCAGGCCACAAGGGCATTCGGGCATTCTAAGATAATAATAATAATAATAATAATAATAATCACACTGAGCACTTATCATGTGCCAGGTCTTGTGCTAAGCATTTTATGTGGTTTGATGCATAGAATTCTTATCATGCATGATTTCTATTTGTGGAACTATGCTGAGTGCTCCTTACCAGGGCAGCACACAACCAATGGCAGTGCTACCACTGGAGTACGCTGCCCTCGTGATGTGCCAGGCATGATCACGGGGGCTTTCGGTGCATTTCTATTCGGTACTTTGAACCCGTGTAAGTTAATTACCATTGCACCATTTGACAGACAGAACTACTGAGGGCAGTGATGTTAAGAATGATCCCTAGAGCCACACAGCTTCTGGATTCCTGAGGTGAGATGGGCTTTAGGCAGCTTCCTGTGACCACAACCACCTGTCTGCCTTCCCAGCCCTTGAGGCACCCAGTGGTGCCATTCATGGTCTGGGCTAAAAGCAGAACCCGGGCTGAGAGAGCAGTGTAGATAGTCTTAGAGGCAGGAGAGAGTGTAGCTTATGGAGAACTCCAAGTGGCTTGCAGCTGAAATGCGACCTTCGGCTGAAGACACAGCCGGGTCCTAGGCCCAGTGCACCCTTGGTGTGGGGCTGAGGAGCCAGTTTTGCCCCACATGATAAGAAACTCTAGGGCC